GACCCGACTGACTATATGAGCGTTCTGTTCAACTGTTAAGCTAGGATTTATTACCGTTATTATCATTATATTGTCACGTGATTTGTTTTTCCTTATGTGTAATGTCTTAAGTATCTTTATTGTAATTTGTATATACCAATTCGTATATACCGAGGAAACGCCGTCGATTGAAGGTCATGTATTTTGTGACGTCACCAATTCGTGTGTAGGTACGGCTTCTAGATCCGTGCCCGTCAAAGTAAATGTTGTCATCTCTCTCAAAATACACTTTGTCTGGTAGGTAAAAACTCAAAATGTTTTACAATCTATTGACCACATTAACTCGTAGATTCTAGATAAATTGTAGATATTTCGTCTTGAGAAAACTGAAAACGAGAAATGATCATTGAACAATTGCGGAGGAAATGAAGATATATATTTACTGGGAACATAAGAACATTATAAAAGTTGTTAGACATCTTAGATATTGGGTATTTACCTGGATTTCTGGGATATGCACCAGTACAAAGAGAGACATACACACTAATGCTACTATAGGAATTGTAGTTGCAATAATTGCTTGAAACAGCTGGGAATCGGATTTTGAATCCATAATAAGTCCTGATAATGGAGCTATTACAAATATCGCCAATTGCATTAACCCGAATAAGGATGTCATCATAGCAACTACAAGAAAAAACATACATGTAATGTATATGGCATCTCTACACGCTCTCATGTTATCCTCAGATAAAATATATTACTGGAAAATAATGTTATAATGGTACAGCTAATGCTGTAACGTCGATCCATTTGATCCAAAGTGTTATTGGGCTTACAGGCAGTGCCAGTGTTCTCACTTTGAACATGCGCTGGCCAGCAAGCCTACAACTGATGTTTTGCCATTTTTAGTGACTGTGCTGATAGGTTTTTGTCCAATTGTTGAGCCTTCTATTACAGATACACATTTAGCACTGACTGGATATTGAGTACATTTACATAAAACACTAGCTGCTCGTGTGACCATCAATAATACACATATCTTCTATAGAGCAGATGGACAGAAATGGATATCTTCCACTGAGCAAGTGGACGGTAATGAAAATCTCCCGTTGAGCAGGAGAACAGTAATGGAAATCTCACATAGAGCAAGTGAACAGTAATTAAAATCTTCCATAGAGCAGGTGAACAGTAATGGATATCTTCAACAGACCACGTGGACAGTAGTGAACATTTCCCATAGAGCAGGTGGACAGTAATGAAAATCTTCCATAGAGCAGGTGGACAGTAATGAAAATCTTCCATAGAGCAGGTGGACAGTAATGAAAATCTTCCATAGAGCAGGTGGATAGTAATGGAA